GGGTTTCGAAACGATTTGATTACATAAATTGAAACTGGCGAGGGAACTTGTTTACCTCCAACAACGATGACAATCGAAAAGGCTAAGGAAAGCCTGCCGAAACTTCCGGTTCATAAAGCAGTACGTGATAGGATTACAGCAACTGGAAACGTAGGCCAGCAACTGTACCAAGCTGATGCCCGTACTTCCAACCGTGGAGTACACGAGATCCGGCGCGAAAAGATACCACGTATTGATCACGTGCAACGGTGCCCAACAGACGAAAAATTCCAGCACGATGACAAACAGCATCCTGATCACCTAAAAATCAGACGTTAACGAAAATTCCTCTTACTGAACGAATTGTTCCCTTTTTGTGCAGCGAGATCTTTCGATGAGGTAACAAGTTCAGTACTGTTCGGCGAAACATTGTTTAATCCCACTCGATCAAATTTGAAATTTGAAATTCAGCGTATATTATAGTTTTCAAGCTACAGTTTTTTCAACGTGAACTCAGAATTTGTGAAAATTGGCAAAGAGCCCTAGTAGTACATTTAACTTCTTTACCGGAGGCTTAAAGTCTTCATTCGAAGAGTGTCTTCTCTAGCGTGTTGGATGAGTTAATAATTGATCAAGTCATCGGAACCGATCTCTTTCAGTACTGTTCGGCGAAACATTGTTTAATCCCACTCGATCAAATTTGAAATTTGAAATTCAGCGTATATTATAGTTTTCAAGCTACAGTTTTTTCAACGTGAACTCAGAATTTGTGAAAATTGGCAAAGAGCCCTAGTAGTACATTTAACTTCTTTACCGGAGGCTTAAAGTCTTCATTCGAAGAGTGTCTTCTCTAGCATGTTGGATGAGTTAATAATTGATCCAAGGACTTTTCGAAAACTTTCAAATTTCTCAGTGACTTTCTCGTTAAAAATGAAAAATGAAATATCTCTAATATAGTAAAATTATCGTAGGGCTGTTTTCTTCTTAATGACTTCATTAATATCTGACTTACGTATTTTTTTTTTTTATGCTAGAATAGAAGGAAAGGCGATATGCGCAATTTAATTTAAATTCACGCATCACAGGCGTAGATATGCTATGTATCACACACTGTGACAAGTATTATAATGGTTAATCAGTGATACGGGCGATGTATTCAGAAAAGGATGCGTTCTTTTATTACTCTCTCTGTGTTTGATGAAAATAAGTCTTTGTGATTATTAAGCGAACCGTGAAGAGAGTCACGAATGAACGATTTTTTAACGAAATTTAAAAGTTGAAGTTAAATAAAGGCATACATGCAGTCATATATGTAACATTTATGTATATAACTTGTTACAAGAAATCTTTGAGATTTAATTTGGATAGAGAAATTCAATTTCATTGGATCTCCTCTTTCCTAGAATCTTACTTTGCATTTTATATCAATACCTTTGAAGATTATGACGTGTAAGTGCGAAGTACTTTGGCTTTACTGGTTTTCATATAAAGCTCGACGACGCTCCATTCGTGAAAAATTCTTTTCTTAGAAAATCATATCAAACCAAATGTGCTTTATAAATTGGTAACTTTTTTAGCCAATGAGCACGTGGAATTTCAAAACGAAATAATGACCTTTTAAAATAACTGAATATTTTATTTATAATATTCTTCAAGTATTGTTTAAATATTAATCACGAAATTATTAATTGCTGTTGAGTTAAAAATTCAAATAAATTAAATATAAATTGCTTAGTATGAAGCAATTTATCTAATAAATTCAACTAATTTAATAAAATTTAACAAAATATCAGGCATTGAAACCGTAAACAAAAGGTAAGAGGAGAGTTTGAATAAAAATTTTTAAATCTCCATACTTATGAATTTCGTATGTATATAGCGAAGAAAACGTGGGTTGAAATAAAATTCAAGTATTCTTTTTAATGCAAGCTTAATCTCTTCGCGTCCGAGAGCAAAATACCTCATCACACGCTGTTCATAATACGCTTTAGACGAGGTATGTGTCAATGCAATACTGTTCATAATATAATCGGAATGGAATACTTCAAGTATATTAGAAAAATAAAATTTTTTGTTTGTGTAGGGACAGAATATTTCCTTCGTTACTTATTTTTATAATATATTTAACGTAATGTACTATGAATTCGAATCATTGGACGAGACAGAGAGAGAGAGAGAGAGAGAGATAAATGAGTTCTCTGTAATTGAACGTATATCAGATATGATGATTATTATAATTCTTCAAACTTTAAACTTAAAAACGTTAGGAAGAAATAAAAAAAAGCAATTTAATAACAGAGAAGATGTATATATAAAAATAGAATACCTTTCTTGATTTCAGTAGTTTAATGAATATTTCTGATTAAAATTCAGAAAATCATATCGAACTCTGTTTTTCAAAGAGCTCTAATTTTATATTTACAAGAAGAGATTGAACAGAAAAGATTCAGCTATGTATGCATATTATGAAAATACAATTTTAAATATTGATGAAAATAGAATTATGAAAATAGATTATGATAATCATATTATGAAAATAGAATTTTAAATTAATATGTAATATTGTAGAGGTGGTATCTTAAGAAGGCACAGGATCAATCAATCATTCATGATCAAGAAATTCATTTAAGAAATAATAATTCATATTAGGTTAACCTGACCGAAAGTAATTTGACTGTGGATTTTTACGAAAATTTATATTTCTGTAAGCCCATTAAACAAATAAAACTTTAAAAAAAGATCTTTTTTAATTTTGGTTTCTTATATTTTAGATATTTCATATGCATTTCATATGATATTCTCATATATATGTTTACAAGTTATAAATTTGTATTTTTTGCAATCATACCTACACCAATCTAATAATAATTAAACTACGAATTTCTATGGAGATTTACGAGTTGAAATGAAAGGAATGAAATTTAAATTGACATTTTTTTTTTAAACGATCTGTATGCACTGTGTAGCAAATTTTAAAGCGCAAAATTGCATATAACAATCACAGTATGAAAAAATTTGCAGGATATTAAACGTACAACACTTTCTATGATATTTCGCAGGTGAAGCAATTTTCCATCCGTGCTTCTATTTGTTTAATTGTATTTTTGAAAATATGAATTTCCATAAAAATCCGCAGTCTAATTATAATGTTTAAATTTCACACGAATGCACAGGGATATGGAAATTTTTGTAACAATTGCAAAAGTGATAGCAAAATAATCGGAAAGCTATGTTTCATGAAACATCGTGTTCATCACGTACCTTCTTCTTGGCTTCGACACTTTTGCCTATGTAATTGCTGCGTATTACGTGCTGCCTGTTGAAAGGATAGGATGTGTCTTGTTGCTCCTCGCAGGCAGTATCCTTCAAGTCTCTCGACAAACAATTACTTCCGTTGCTGCGAACTTGCACTCCCGATTCATGGGAATAATCTGGCCCTTGACATTTCCCACCGAAGACCCTGGAGACCCTTGTTCGCGGGACGCGTACCTTTTTAAAGAAATTGCGGATGACCTAGTTAATTCGTCAGCTAGCTTATGATTTAATATGCTTCCAGCTTGTGCGCTTACATCGTGCTGCATTAATAAGAATATATCAGATTCGATTATGCTGTGTGAAATTTAGTTTGTAAGTCGCGAGTAGAGAGTACCAACAGTATCCGCCAGGGATTCGAAAATTTCAACACCGTTAACAGTTTCGCGACGACCGTGTCGGAGTAAATAAATTTAGCAAGTTTCAATTTTTGCGAATTTCTATGTATTCGTGGGAAATTTAAAGGTGTAAAAAACGCATAGGATGCACGAGAAAGTATAAAATATTGAAAACACGGCTCTGTAATACATTTTCACGAAATTTGCATAAAAATCCGCAGTCTAACGATTAAATATAATTTTAAGCTGTTAAATAGGGTGAACAAGTGAATATGTAATCAATCTAATGGATGCAATAATTATCTCATTGTTAAATTCTTTGACGTTAGAACTACCAAAATTTTTGCGGACTCCTACGTATTCATGGAAAATTTAGAGGTGTAAAAAACGCATAGGATGCACGAGAAAGTATAAAATATTGAAAACACGGCTCTGTAATACATTTTCACGAAATTTGCATAAAAATCCGCAGTCTAACGATTAAATATAATTTTAAACTGTTAAATAGAGTGAATATGTAATCAATCTCATGGATGCAATAATTATCTCATTGTTAAATTCTTTGACGCTAGAACTATCAAAATGGTCAAAATGACGAATTCGTAATTTTTCATTCGAAAGTTTGATAACAACGATATATTTTCAGAAGTTCGAATAATTTTTCTTTTTTTAAATATAAAAAGTAAAACCTCATGTTTTTCGTCGTACTACAATTTTGTTCTACGTTATCCTGAAATAAATTTTCTACCCTAGTTGCCGATAGCCCCAATGGGAAATATTATATAAATATTGAAAATAAATATTTCATACATATCTACTCGTCCTTCAATTTGCGTTGTATCTATTCGTTAAAGAAAACACTACAAAAAAATCGATATACAAAAGTATTAATGAGGAAAACGAATGACAACGAAAATTCAGAAAAATCGAAATAAATTTCATTCGCTGTGAGTGTGTCGTTACTGTGATCCAATGAACCCAAACCAGAAAAGATATAACTAATATAATTAAATAAAAACTTTAGTAAATATATAGGGTGTCTTAAATTCCTGGTTAACAAATAACTCAAAAGATATAAATAAAATATGTGATAAAAGATGTTTCGGAAAAGACGAAAGTTTTATGATATCGAAGGATACATACGATGTACATGTACATACGACAGATACATAGGATTCCTGACCGTGTGAAATAAAATCGCGTAAATTGGTACAAAACATCCGCGCAAACGAGGAGATCATTTGCGGACTAAGAGATTATTTACTAATGAAGAGATAAAAGTAAAAAAAGCGCCTTGTCTGTTTTTTAGTTGAACAAGCTGCTCGTTTCGACTTACAATTGTCCAATGCAAACGACTCCAGATTAATCATATTAAAGCACATTTACATCAAGCAACTCTCGCTCGCGCTATTGAATCGACTGATTTTTCTTTCGTTTAAAAATTATTTATGTACACACAATAGAAATTTCTACCTGGCGAAACGATTTCTGCTTGCATCAATAGGAAAACGATCATTCTTGATTGAAGAGTTTAGCGATTTTCAACTACAATTGATCGTATAAACAGTGGTGAGTCGATTGATTTGAACGTTACGAGATCATAGAATCAACTAAATTATTAGATTACAGGCAAAATACATCATCACACTGTGAACGACAAAAGCGTCGAACGAAGAAGCCTTTAAGAATAATCCTTTTAAACGACTTGTAGTTAATCAATTTAATCGAAGCGAGAGTTGCCTAACCTTTGAATACCACTTTGATGAAACTTTTAAAATTTAGCAGGGAATTGGATCTACTCTTTGCAAAACGATGCGCATTCAGGATTCTTCCAAGTTACGAACCGTATAAAATTATGTTTCAATAAATAAATTTAATTCTATTCTAAAAGTGTAGAACATTCGGAAAAATTGGAAAAAAAATTTTTGTCTCATCAACAAAATTATTTATCGTAACACGTGGAATCCTTTAAATTGTGGATAAAAATTGTGATATTGTTATAAGCTTTCGATCAACAGTAAGCTAAAAGTAGAAAAAAAAATCAAAGCTTTTGAGAAATAATGTAGATGTTATAATTTTGAGGGCGTGTTACATCTTGAAAATATAAAATATTTAGGAATGTTAATTCGGCTGGTTACAAAATACATAAAAAACAAAGTATTAAATTTATATATTATATGTGGTAACATATGCAGTTCATATCTCAAAGACTTTAATATTTTTTACTTAACACTCTCAGTTTCTACTTTTTTAATCGAAAGGATATTATCAAAGTTAATATGATAAAATTATTTCTGGTCTGGTTCATTTTGCTTCCTTTGTCAAACACAGTGTTAATAGTGCGGTATACGTATGCTCTTTCAGCAAAGATAATGCGTTTCTGGCCTCACTATATACACACACACTCGCGATATACAAATTAAATTCACTCGCGATAGATAAGAAACTATATACATGACGAAACTAGTAATCAAGTCGAAACTTTTACTATATTTTTGCGTGTATATTCGAATTTAATAACTAGAAGTATAACATAAAGCGTAATAATACGTGAAATATATTTTGCAAAATTGATTTACTAATATCTTAAATTTATTTAGAAAAACAAGAAAAAACGAAGCACCAGCTGCTGATTAAAATGTGCCCAATTATTGTTAAATATCATTGTTAATATAGCAATACAAATCAAATTATACAACTGACAACATACGTTCTTGAACGTTTCTGTCACAAGTCAATTAAACAATTTTAATTGAAAACGCGTAGGATTAAAGCCACAACGTAATAAAGTAATAAATTCAAACCGGGAATTTCAATATCACGCATAATGTTTTAATCCGTATAGTTTTTAATTTAACTAAGATTGTTTATGTACGACGAGAGTATAAGACATTTATGTACGTAATGCGTCTCGGAATAAATGTATTCATACATTGCTGAAAAAATATTTAACAATGTTTTTCAATGCTTTTCCAACCGTTGAAAATATTATGACAACCAAAAAGATGAATCCTCTGTTGCCAGAAAATATTCATTCATCAGTTTCTTTTCTCTTTGTACATTAGACTGGATAATTGTTTTTTATCATTATGTCATACATGTTTTTTTTATCCTACAATTTCATTCTGTTAATTTTATATTTCATTATCTATAATTCATAATATGTATATATATATATATATATATATATATTTTTTGTACGTATTTACATATTCGAGTATCCTCTCACATGTTAATAATTACAGAAAATAAAGTTCGAATATTGACACACCTGTATCATATATATTGCAACACACGTGTATTAAAAACTACGTGGATTAAAACACGAACATATTTGTTGCATTTTAATGTGTATTTTCAATATACGTCCAACATTGTGTCCTTTGGCTGAAACCTGTTTGTCGTTCACGAAACAGATTCTACAGTAATTATTATAGAAGCACATGACATTATTGACGCAAATATTCAGATTTGTTTTGTGAAACAAATTTTCTATCCACACGATAGAAAGAAGTGAAACACATGCGCGTGTAAAATTTTTAATCGATGTCATATTACATCGGGATTGATTTCTCCCCTTTCAATTGTAAGATAAGCTGACAGTGTCAATGTATCAGTGATTTTTTCACGGTTAATCAAATTATCGAACGAGTAATTCCTACGAACGATCATTCTCTTTCAATTGTGCTCTTCTGTACAATCCTCTTATCTATTATAAAGCACTTTCATCTTTTCCACTCGGTGTTCTTGCAGATAATATTTCGGACAACATGAAGTCTCCAAACTTTTTTCATGTTAAATTTATCCAACGATTATAAAGCAATTTGGTAAATTGCAATTGACGCTAGTTAATTAATTGTTCAGATAATTTAATAATTAGTAATTCAGATAATTAGTAGTTAATTAATTGTTCAGATAATTTAGTTCAGTTAATTGATAATTAATTGTTTAGATAATTTAATAATTAATAATTCAGATAATTAGTAGTAATTAATTGTTGATATAATTTAGTCCAGTTAATTGATAGTTAAGTAATTGTTCAGATAATTTAATAATTAATAATTCAGATAATTAGTAGTTAATTGTTCAGATAATTTAATAATTAATAATTCAGATAAATTAATAATTTGGATTGTGCTGCGTGAAAAATAAAATTTGCGTCTAAATGTGGAGAACTGATTTTCTCATATTCTCGAGGATTAATTCGTATTGTGAGATTTTTAATATTCATTTTGCTTATAAAGAAAGACGACTCAGAGTATTAATTATTAGACTTACAAGTATCTTTTAATTCCAAAAATAATATTTAATAATACATTTTATAAATATTATGAAATAATATTTAGTAATAATATTAATCCATCCGATGAAGGAATAAAGCTTTAAATGTTCTTTCATTTGAAAGTTATTCAGTTAACCAGAACGTTAAGTGTATTTATAAAGTCGTATTAAATTCAGTCGTAGATCAAATTTAATGGAATTTACAGAATTATAATCTGCAGTACAAACATGGGGTTTAAAGAGCAATTTAAATCTTCTCCATTACAGATCCAATTATAAATACGGATAAATATCCAAGTACATTAGCTTAAATGAAAGGAACAAATGTGCGGTTTAACTAATTGTTAATCGAGGAAATATATAAAAAGAAACTAATGAAGTTTTAAACGTTGTCGTTGTTGTTGTTAGTTCGAAATGTGCGAAATATCTATATTAAGAAAAGTTTTGAAACGAAAAGATTGTCAAATTTCATGAAAACAGATTTCATCATCATTAATTATTAATTAGATGTTAATACTCTATTAACGTTATTGATATATTGTTGATACACGTTTTATACATTTTGACAAAGATTTTTCATTAGAAATTAATAAAATATCGTACTTATGAAATGAACGATGATGATTCAAATAAATAATAACTAGATCGTAGCCACATTCTCTCCTGATAAGAGAATATAATTGGTGAGATTAGATCAGTTTTAACATGTGGACTAGTACTGAACCGATATCCAAAGAGATTTTACACATATACGTGGAAAACTCTCAGAAAACTTACATTAGCCGATAAATTTAATTCTCTTGGTGAGCAGCGAACATAATCTAGGAGAAAAGTAATTTTTAAAGACAATTATGCAGTTTTAAGCTAATTGCCAAAATAAATCCAATTTTTGAATTTCCATTCGAATATTCCAATTTATTATAAAATCGTAAATTTATGCTTTCCTGTGATTGGTCTTTTGAGGCATAAAACAAATTTACTTTTATAAATATAATTTTGTTATATATATATATATATTTTTTTTTTTATACTTCGATACAAGATAATAATAATATCAAAATATTAGTAAGCCACTTACTACAATCAAACTATTCAATTAGGAAATTTTTTGATACCTATTTATTGGTAAATTCGTAATATCTCTTTAGGTAGGAGATATATTTCGTTTAAAAAATTACGACATACGTTTCTAAACTACGTTTAATCTTCGGATGACAAAAACTTCAATAGGTTTGATTCATTTAAATTTTCCACGTTTATTATCAATTTCTATATCACATTCGTGTAATATTATTTTATCGAATTATACAAATGATTTTATTTTTTTTTTTTTAAAGTTAATTTGCCAAAGTGTTTTCTCAGTTTAGTTTTCCTATTTAATCGCTGTAAAGTAAAAGGCAGGGATTAAGCGGCACTTTTTTCTGGAAAATAATTTTCTAGAAAATTAACGAGTTGAATTTGTCAGTGTTTTCTCAGTGCCAATCGGCGTTACAATTATGTCGAATACGTTTCGTAAAATAATTGTTGAACAATTTACCAAACGAGTAAACGGAATGTATTTAAAATCAAAAATTATGTTATTAGTTTGAATAGGCAGAGAATTTAAAAAGTGCATTACTAAATAAATATACTGCTAAATGATAATTTGTATAGTAAATGGACGGGCTAATTTTCGTGGCTTAGAATTGAATAGAATTTGTTCATATAATTTTCGACGTACGTTTAATACCTATTATAATAAAAATAAGTGATTTAAAGATTTGTTGGAATTTTCTTTATTTTATATATAGAACTGAATGAGGAAATAAATATTTTTACTCTTTAACAACACAGACGATTCATTACGACTGTGTATCAGCTATAGAATTCTTCATCGTTTGTTTCTTAACGTTGATGGAATACTTTTGGGCACTTCATTTTTCAACGAATTTTTATTTTATTTTATCGCGTTTCTTAGATAGATTGCTTCTTACTGGCAGTTGCACGTGTTTCAAGGATATCAAACGTGTTACTCTCTGACAGAAAATAATAAGATAGGCTCGATCAACAATGTTGCAGCGATACTTCAAAGTCAGTTGTATTCAATTTCATTTTGATTTCTAAGCATAGGTTTCTACTGACTTTTAGGAAAATTCGAACATTTATTGTGGAAGAAGTTTTAGAGATGTACTATTGCTCAAGAGTCTTACATTTTTTTTTT